ATATCAAATGACCTGAACGACAACAAAAGGCAAAAATGGCTTGCCACGGAACTATGTTGAATAATAATAATTCATTTTCATAATCATAATTTCAAATAACAATTCAGTTTATAAGATTTACCTGATCGGCCATCCTCTGTGTATTTTCGGCGTAACCGTGCCAGGTCCTTCACCTCGAGGGCTCGATGGCGTGGTAATTTTATTAATTGGTTTCCGCCCGCCAGGTCTGCTAGGAAACACGAGTTTCAGGCCAGCGGATTTCTTCGTCGTAGACGAAGCAGATTCTGTTGTCGCGGATGCATTGGATTCGGTAGAATCTTTCGTCTCGTCTTTTGTCTCTGAAGTGAGACTCTTCCTCTTCTCTTCGTAATCGCGTGGCAATAACGAAGAAATATCAACTTTAGAGTTGGCGAACAAGTCCTGAATCGTTCTCTCAGCTGATGATGATTTCTCTGATGAAACATCTATAGCTTCCGCTGTTGTCGTGATGGTGGTTTCTTCGTTTTTCTTCTTGCTATAGTCCGCTGGTAACAACGACGATATATTAACTTTAGATCTCGCAAGAATATCCTTTAGCAAAGAGCTTTCCGTAACGGGCGAGTCCTCTTTCTTCAATTTGTATCCAGGTGGCAAGAAGGCACTAATGTCTTGAACGATCACATTGGTTTTAGGTTTCTTCGTCGTCGTAGTGGAGGTAGTTGATGCGAGTTGAATGGTGATTGATTCTGCTGTTGTGCTCTTTGTAGGCCACCTAAACATCATTAATCATAATCTTTGTTACCCCATCGCACGCTTACGTTTCATTAAATTGGCAATAAGAAATAACTGCGAAACATTTTAACATACAAAGAAGGAACATTTTGAGCCAAATTAAAAATTCTCTCTTATCTCTTAATCTTAATCCTCAATAAATATTATATACTTTCAACTATATCAGATCATTCTAAACAAATCAAGAAGAACTACTTTCAAATGTATCGCCAACCTAAATCCATTCTTTGAAGGCGTCGTCGACGTCGTCGACGAACTCCTGGTGACGTAATCGCGTGGTAACAATCCTTCCAGACTGTCGAGCGTCGTTTCAATTTTCGGCTTCGGTGTAGCATGATCGGTTCTCTTGTCGTTATATCGTCGAGGTACGAACTTGCTAATAACCGGTGTCCTGGCAGTAGTGGTGTACCTTCTGCGATTGTTCCGGTCCCTTTCGTTCAAAACGTCCAACTGAAGCGAATTACCAGCGGTTCTGAAACCACCGGCGAGAAAGCCGCTGGACAATTCCGACTGCACCCTGTCCAATTTGTCGATGATGCTCTCCGTGATGGACTCCAGAGGTGGCGACGTTTTCTTCTCGCCGCTGTGGCCGATCGATTCGATACGATCTATAACCGGGAAGGGTAAGAACCTCGCGCCGGATATGCTACGACTCGTCTGAACGGAAGCTAGTATTCGAGACGTATCTTCGGTTGTTACGGCTAGTTCCGTGACCTCCGTGGACGTGGAGGAGGGTGGCGCGGCGACTTGCTCGGTGGTAGTCGGCGAGGATGTCGTCGGAACAGAAATCGTGCCGTTGACGACGCTTTTTGTCGTTACTACGGATACTATGGCCTCGCCGATCAGGATGGAACTGTCAGCGGAAGAGTTTGTTCCCGATTTCGGCAGTCCGAGAAAGGCGAACGTTTTGTCGCTACCTTCCATCGAGGAACCCTCTTCGTTGTTGGTCGTCGTAATTGGCGTGTCCACGTTCTTCTCCTCGAGCAGATCGGACGAAGAGTCGTTCACGTGGTGAGTATCCTCTAATAAGTATTCTTCCTCTTCCTCCGATAAATCGTAGTCGTTGTCCTGCGGTTTCGCCGCTTCGTCTTCGTGTTCTTCTTGTTCCTCTTGCTCTCCCTGCTCCCTCGACGCTTCCTTTTCCTCTTCTTCTTCCTCTGCATCCATATAGTCACGGGCGTGATCGTCCGCTGCGAAATTTCAAGGACCTTGGTTTTACGAACAACTTAGACGCGGAAGAAACGCGCGGAGCACGGTGCCTCTGTTCTACACCGGCACTTTCCTTACCGGGTGACGAAACGAGTTTACATAACGCAGAACGCGTTTACAAAAGATCATAATTATTTTATTACTGTCGCGCTACATCGCGAGAGAGAAAAAAAAGACGGTTTTACATTACGGTGGGAGACAATCGATCTCCTTATAGACTCTGAATTTCTGTTCGAAAGCTGTGGCAAGGCAGCTAGTTTAATCGATTCAATTTCCATTCAATTTTTCGCAAAACTTTCTTTCCTATCGTACACGTCTTTTCATGTTCAGTCGAGAATTACATTGCCGAGAAATTCTTCTCAAAAAGTGGAGAAATTTTTTAACATCGTTCGCGTATCACGTATAAGTTTATGCGATTTTTTGAAAAATTAAATTTAATCTATTTCTTGCATTTGGATTGCAGAGAGAATATTTTACGATATTATCACGAACGCAAGAATATTGTAAAATTTGAACTATCTGACAACTGTTCATAGTTTGAGAAACTTGAAAATTATGTATATTAGTAAGTTTCAAGCTTGACGTTTAATTTTCGATTTATGTCTCACCTGCAGTCTGGTATCGCGACTGATTAGGACTCGAGTAATCATCGTTATAATAATTATACGTGTCGTACTGACTCGTCGAGGGATCCTCCAGATAATCTTCATCTCTGGACACGTCTTTTGCCTGAGCGTTTATGTCTGGCGAGCCTTTCACATACTTTACATCGACGGTATCGGTGATTTTAGAAAATTTCGAAGTTTCGTGTTCCGCTTTTGGATCGGTTTCAACTTCGTACTCGTCTTCGTAAACTTCTTCCTCGTCTGCTTCCTCCTCGTGTTCGTTTCTCTTTCCATTCGTTTTTGACGTCTCCATGACGTTGTTCTCGTCCAAGGAGCGCAATAGCGTTTCCGCTGGATTACTCGCAGGAGATGCATTTTTGTCTTGTTGTTCGTACACCGAATTCGTTGGTATCAGACGTGATAATTTGTCCCACGACTCGACTGATCCTTGAAAGAAAATCGATCGATTTAGTACATGATGATGAAATTTAGTTAGAAATAAATAAATACTCAATTATTTTCTAAAAATGACAAAAGTGATAAAATTTTAAATTAATTTGTATCCCAGGCTTTTAAAAAGCTATTTAAACTGCTCGAAGTTTATTCTATCATAAAAATTAAACACGTCGGAGTTTAATAGACGAGGAATATGCATATCAAAGAAGAAAAATTTTAATAACGAAAAGAGAGATAAAATAGCAAACAATCTTTAAACTTAAAATCTAAGGCATTAGGTAAAAATAAAGTAAACTGAGAAACAAACTAAATGAATCGAATGAATAAGAAAATTGGGGCATCGAAATGAAAAGGGTGTGCTCGATTCGCGTAATCATATATAAATTATAGTTGCTCTTTCACGGGTTTAACTGGCACGTTCCGTGAGAAACTGTCTGGAGTTGTTTCCGAAAGAAAGCGAAGACGCTTTCCAGCATTGTTTCTTCATGTTTTGTAATACCTTTTGCATCGAGAAACAGACCATCTTATTTTCTCGATTTCCCGCGGAAAACTCGTCTCCAAACTTCCTGCTACAACACGTTGTTAGATAATCATTTAAAATTTCATACTTACAATACTTTCTATATATAACTTGGCTATTAAAATTATAAATTTACACACAGTTAAGATAGTCTTCGAGCAGTAAAAAACTGATTCAATATTTTAAAACGCTATATAATAAAATACAATTTACTTATTGGAACATTTCCAAAAATCCAGATAAGCATCCTTTAATAGCATTAATTATCATCATATGAATACGTATTTACGTTCGACTTTTCCCAACTTTCGATTGGGAAGTATTTGTTCCGCTTTTACATCCAAAGAGATTAAAGCTAACATTTTATTTAAAACAAAGTGATAGTTCGATTTTCTCGCACGAAAATTTATTTACATCGACATGCGTTCTGCTTTTCCTAACTTTCGAGTAGAAAAAAGTACGCTCCACTTTCGTATTCCACAATGATGACAACTTTCTTTCATCGAAAACAAATTAAAAACGTGCATGGAGATTAAGCAAATAATAAGGGAACGATTTTCTTCATTTCGATTCACGAGCAATTTTGTGAAATAACTCAACTTTCTCATTTGAAAGAAATACAACGTATCAAATTTGCATTTGCATATCCTGTAATTTTTTTACAGTCCTACTCTGGCCCCAGTTTCTCCTCATGTATACAATAGTTCCACTATTTATTCTTATAATATAAATTTTTTGAATTAATAGTTACATCAACCAATGATGCTATATCATTATTTATCATTCACAGTTTCTTTCATATTACATATATGATAATAAAAAAATGAAAATTCCCTGAAATTGAAAAGACCTTATTAATAATTTTTAATTAATTACTTATTAATATTTCTTACTAAAATAAAATTAAAAAAAACTTATTAATATTTCTTCGTGTATTTCAATACTTTTGCCTTGGATATTAAACATATGCTTTGCTAATACATCTATGTTTAAACTTCTACCATGTATTAAAGTATACATGATTTACGATTATTTTACCAAACAGCAATGAATATAATTTTCTGAAGAGAATGGTTGGAATATTCTAAGCGAGATATTCTTGAAAAGGGTTGTATCAGTGGTAAATGTCGTAACTGGAATAGTTCCGTGGGTGTGTCCGCAATGGAATCAACAAGGCTGCAGGCCTTCGAAATCTGAGCGCGAATATAAATTAAGGTGTGGTTACGCTACTCGAACGCGTTAATTGCGCTTGCTTTCCTACGATTCGTTTTCTTCTCGTACAATTTGATTTTTTGCTGTTACGTCCGCAAACATACTTAACGCAGCCACTTTAATTGCTGACTGTCAAAAGTTCACTTGCACTCTTCGAATTCGGTTTCTGACGTCCCTTGTTTACGTTTCACTTTAGGAGAGATACTCTAGAAATGCATAAATTACTTGTTTTATTTCGTACTGTTATTTATATAATTCAACAGTTTACCATAAATGGCTTACCAAAATAGATTTGGACAATTTAAGCAACAGAAAAAGAAGCACGTATTTTACAATTTTTGAAGATCAACTTCTATACTTTTTGTTTGATTTATTTTTATTTTATATTTTGTTACTTAAACCAGTAATCTAACATTATATAATGGGTACTGCATGTTTATTTTTATTTTTATAGTAATTAGATATGCATATACTCTGTGCTGTTGATTTAATTCTCAGTAATTAATGCATAGACTGTAAGACAACTATCTCTCATTATCATATTGAGCAATATCAAGCTTTACGTAAATACAAGTATTATCAATCAAGTTTAGATACAGTTCAGTGATCATATTTTTTTGTCTCCCCGTTATAAATGATTGCGCTATTAGAAGCACAATAATAAGCGCGAATATTTATGGTGAGTAAATACGCACTGTCAACAGAGAAACATTGTATGTATAATACTTAATTTCATATTTATATTGCATACTGTAACAAATTGCAGACTAGAATTATCCTCGTTCAAATATCAAATCTATCAATTTATTCATTCTTTTTGCGAGTCTCCACGAAATATTCATCGCTGTTCGAACTTACCTCCTACGTTTACTATTAATTCGAAACTTTCAATAAAGTTGCGAGCGTATCGTATTTTATCATTTCGACAATTCAAGCGATAAAATTCATTGGAAATTTCGTCAATGTCCAACGTAATTCCAAGTTATCCATCTTTTGTTCGGAACTCGCTCATATGTCTTGCAGTTTCCGGCGCTGATTGTGAGACCAACCGGATTCGATATTCTCAGCTGTCGCCAACCGGTTGTTGGCAAATTCATCGATCTATTGACGTAATTCGAGATCACTTATATGGCCAATACCAGTTTCGTATTTTCAGCGGAACTTGCCCGATACTTTCACGATCGCGACAGCAGGAAGTGTCCGATTGAATTCTAACGGGTGTACGTGCACCAAAGGAGCGAGAAGTCGCGCGTGCCAAGCTTACCCAACGAAGTTGTAACGCACATATTATAAATAATGGGCCGAGTGCAGCTGTTCTTCTTTCAATCGTCCTTCGACTTGATCGCGTCTACTCCTCGTACATACGTTCACACGAATTCTCAACTCGAGAATGATGCC